GAGGAAACTGGAGTACCCAAAGAAAACCCATGCAGACATGGGGAGAAAGTGCCAACTTTGCATAGACAGTGGCCCTGGCCAGGAATCAATTTTATTTTTCCTCCTCAATGTTATAATGAAACAAGGTTGACCTGCTGTAACTTGTCCAAGATCACTCAGTAGTAAGATTCACACTCTTAAATTATTTGTGAAAACCCTATGTTGCATTTCACTCTGTAATTCACTGACTACCAACATCTTTAGGTTCCCCTTCATCATTCATTTCACATTTCTTGAGCATTTGCTCTATGACAGGTAGAGTGCTAAAAGCTAAAGTCACAAGGATAATAAATAAGACAGGGTCCTTTCTAAAAGGACCCAAGTGGTCTTTCTAAACACTTTGCTTTCATAATGTTGAACTTTTTATCACTCCTTATTTTGACTTGGTACTTTTGCCTATGCCATTCTTCCTGCCTAGAATATTAGTCGGCCCCCCCATATGCTTACTCATTTTTAAGTAATCAGCTCTGTTGTCTCTACTGTGAAGACTTCTCCACTTTTCCAAGCAAAGTTACCTTTCCTTCCTCTGCCTTCCATACTTTATTTATTCCTCTTTCATGGCATTTGCCACATTGTACTGCCCATCTCCCACAATGGAGGTGGAGCAAGTTCGTCAAGGTTAAGAAAGGACCCTGTCTTATTTATTATCCTTGTGACTTTAGCTTTTAGCACTCTTCCTGTCATAGAGCAAATGCTCAAGAAATGTGAAATGAATGATGAAGGGGAACCTAAAGATGTTGGTAGTCAGTGAATTACAGAGTGAAATGCAACATAGGGTTTTCACAAATAATTTTAGGCAATGAGAAAATAAATACAGGTATTTAGGGATGGGGAAACAGCAGAAAAATGTCACCTAAAATGTGAGTATATCTTGCCCAAGAAATCGGTCAAAAAAAAAAAAAAAAGAGAAATACTATAATTAAAAAATAAATAAAAATTACTATTTAAAAACAAAAACAAAAAAATAACATGTGAGTATATGGAATGGGTGGTAATGCATAGTAGACCAGAATTTGAGTGGGGAGTGTAGTGCTTTTCAAACTTTTTGGCTCAAGTACCTCTAGTGGCAGAGGATAGTGGATATGTACAATCCCTTGGGAGCTGGGAGCAGAGACCTGTCCAAGCAGCCTTTCTGTATATGAAGCACAAAATACCTATGAACATTTTTGACATAGCTATGTTTTATCTTTAGAAATTCATGCAAATATTACATTCTACTTTATTATTATGAGTTTGTTTTAATATGAAAATACTTTTTTCTTCCCAGTCACTCATCCTCTAGTAAAATAGATGCTGCCGGAACATGTGTCATTTATCCTCTGGCTTCTAGTACATTCTGGCATGCCCCATATCCAAATCTGGGAGGCATGGAATAGGGTTATAGTCTAATATGGCAGCATACTAGCTTTCTGTGATCTGGGGGATGGCCTGCTCAGGAGTATTGTATTATGGAACTGAGGAGCGTGAGCTCATATTGTTCTAACAAAGCTGTTCCTGGAAAGCTGCAGTCATTTGGAGGCACCTCATTACCAGATCATTGGGGACCAGCTGGAGAGAGTTCACAGAAGACCTAGGAATGATTAAGAGACTAGAGGGGCTGATTGATGAAGAAAGTGTAAATGAAAACCATATAACTTGGCTGAACAAAGATAGCAGAAATATACAACTGTATGAATATCTCAAGAGTATAAACTTGGTGGGGGAGGACAGTCTTTTATGGTGAGATTTTGGTGTAGGGAGAATAAGCCAGGATGAAATTAAGCCATGGTAAATGTAAACTCATAATCCAAAGTATCTGATGTTGCACTTTATTTTTTGGAACCTCCTTAGTTAGGCCACCCTTATCTGTGCACTTTTTGCAAATTGAATGATTTGGTTTAATTTCATGTCCCTGTACTCATGGGTGGTGCTTCTGTGTAGAGAATGCTAGAGTCTACATCTTACAAAGCAAAATTCTTTCTTTTGTCCTGTCTTTGTGGAAATCAGTAGGTGATACTGAAACTCCTATGTGCTGCCACTAGCTCTGTATGCACCAGAATTCCAAAATGGGTTTTCACATCAGGTTTTCATAGCATTTTAAAAGTAGAGACTACATCAGTAATATGTATTGTAATAATTTTAGGAACTTGAATACCGTATTTGGTCCCTGAGGTACTGGTTTTAGGAAATATTAGCCTTGATGAAATGCAAGCATGATTATATGAAATATGTATTTTGGAAAATGATCATGCAAAATTCCTAATTGGGATATGGGAGGCATAAATCTTTTAAATAAGTATTGAAATTAGGAACATTTGCATAATTTTGCAAGTTTTGTAGCTCTTCTAGAGGGGATAGTAGAACTGGAAGAAAATGATTTTAATGCTTTATTTGATTTATAAAAATGCATTTGTTTATATAAGACAGTTGTGTAGCTTTAAAACTAAGACCACTTGACCAGGAATTGGTATGGTTTTTCTGTTAAGGGCTAGATAGTAGAGTTTTATGGGCCATGCATCTCTCCTGCAAGTACTCAGCTCTGCCATTGTGCAAAAGCAGCCATAGACAATATGTAAACAAATGAACTTGACTGTTTTCATTTTGTTTTTACAAAAACAGGTGGCTGTGTGGATTTGGCCTGCAGGCTGTAGTTTGCTGACTCCTGCTCTGGACTCCTACTCCTGAAAGTGTGGTTTATAAGACCAGCAGCATCAGCATTACCTGTATGCCTGTTAAAGATATAAAATATTGGGCCCTTCTTAGGCAGAGTGCTCTAGAATCTAAACCATGCTTCTCAAACTTCAACATACATATAAATCAACTGGGATCCTGTGAAAGTATAGACTCTGACATAATAGGGCTGAACACCATACTAGCCATTGGGAGGCAAAGATGATAAGACCCAATCAGTGTCCCCAGGGAGCTGAGAATCTTTTAGGAGAGACTACTATGTAAGCAAATAATTTTAATATGGATTAATAAATGTTATAATAGAGGTATCTTCAGCATAGGAGTATCACAGAGGAGGAAGTGATTGATTCTGTCTGGAGTGGGTAGAGTCCTCAGAGAGGCCTTAGGGCTGCACCAGAGAAGGGGGAATGCTTGAGTTGAGTCTTGAGTCTCACTAGAGGCACTGAAGCATGGGGTAAGCATGATAGTTCATGGTGGAGACAGTAAAGATTATATTAGAACTGGGAATTATTTGATTTAATACTCAATTAGCTGATCACAGGATTGGAAACCCACTAATATCATAATGAATAGAAATAAAAGCTCAGTATATTCTATCTTCCTTCTTTATACTGTTTCCTTATTTGAAAAAATGATAACTTTCCTATTCTCTTCTCTTTTTTAGGAAAATAGGTCCCTAAAAAAATATGTTCTCCAGAAATAGGTACTTCTTACATATCCTTTCATCATTAAGAATTTAAAAACCACTAAAAGGGCCTGGTGAGGTAGCTTGAGTTTGTAATCCCAGCTACTCAGGAGGCTGGGGTAGGAGGATCAGTTGAGGCCAGGAGTTCAAGACCAACTTGGGCAAAATAGTGAGACCCAGTCTTAAAAAAAAAAAGAAACAAAAAGAAAAACACTAAAAGATACAGGTAGAAAATAAAAATTATTTATATTTTTATGTTTTTCCTTCTAGTCTCCTTTATATAATATTGTATTTCTAAAATTGGGATTGTGCTATGTAAATAATTTTTTCCCTGCTTTTTCATTAAGCATTTTAATTGTGAACATTTCTCTATATTGTTATTCCTTAAAACTGTCATTTAAAAAATTCTTATGTAACATTCTCTCACAGGGATCTCTCACAGTTTATGTAACCATTCTTATTTGGGGATCTTTTAAGCTGGTTCCAGTTGCTAGTTGACCCACGTTTTGGCTCATGTACTTGGCAAGTCTATTGCTATATTTTAAAATAAATGTATATATTTATTTTTAATTTTAAATGTTTGCCAACTCGTTTGATTTGCTGGCCTTCACTTATATTCTATTCTTCTGTTCTTGTTAGTATTTTGTATTTTCTACCTTGGTTTCCCATAGTAGAGAGAGAGAAATGTAGTCACTAAAAGCATGGATTCTGGGTCCGGTTTGTCTGGATTTGACTCAACTCGTTGTGTATTATCTTGAAAAAGTATCTTAACCTTTCTATGTCCCAGTTTCTTCATCTGTAAAATAGGGATAATTGTCTGTCTTAGGGTTGTGAGTTAATACATATGAAGCACTGGGAATAGGTCCTGCCATGTGGTAAGATGGTCTCTTTTACTGGTTAGTAGTCTCCTCTAATTTGTTTCATGGTGGGTGTTTGTGTATGCATTGCCATAAACCCTCTTTCTGCTACATTTTTGGTTAATGAATATCTTTGAGAGTTATAAACTGACTTCACTGGATGTTATTTATTTAGTGACTTTATTTTGAAAGTTCACAGATTTGTTTTTCCCACTCGTAGCAGTGTATTTTACTGTTTTAAATATAAAATCAGCTTTGTTTAACCATGTCTTGGAAGTGTATACATGGGCACAAAGGGAGAAAACTGCATAGGCTGATAGATTGGGTTTTAAAGCTCTTTGGTGGCTTCTCTTTTCCAACTGAATATTATCTTGCTTCCTTATCGTGGTATATAAGGCCCTCTGTAATCTGGCTCTGCTGGTGCTTTCGTCTCATTTCCCAGACCCTGTGCTTAAGCCCCACTAAACTGAAATTGGGCATGTGGTCGTGATAAAGCTCACTCTTTAAATCTGTGCCCTAGTGACATAGTTACAGACAGTGAGGTTGCCAGTTGACTTTTCTTGTGGAGTTGGAGAGTGACCTTAAGGAAACTGTGGAGTTTTAATTAGGAATGCTTGTTCAGAGTTTACTAGCCCTTGGTTATTTTTAGTGGCCCACAGTTTCCACTACCTGTTCAACCTCCTCTTTATTGTTTTCTGGGGAATCTCTTTCAGAAATAACCTATATCACTAACCTTGTTTTCTTTTTAGGGTAGGATCCTGGGACACCAGAACATACATATCTTCGGGCAATTGATTGTGCCCTGCACTAGAGAAAAGTCTGGGAATGATATATTCTTGGGCTGTATTTCTCTGCCCTGGAATTCATACAGTTCCTTCCAGAAACGCTGACCCTCTGCTTACTCTGACACATCCTCAGTGAAGATCTGATGGACAGACCCTTTCTGGTGATCTTGTGGCTTTCTTCTTTCATGTGGAAGTTGGAAGATAAGGTGAAAGGGGCCAAAAGTTATCTGCTTTGGTGAATACAAGTGCTCCACATGGTTCTCAGAACATGGGCCCTCGTTTAAAGGTAAGGAAATAGATTGTTTTAATATTCAGTTATTGGGATGCAGAACGTGGATCCAGTGACCAGGTTTAAAACCTTTTCAGTAAGGGATAGCTGTTGAAGTATGCAGTTGCAGTGAGAATTGACTTTGCGTCCCGTAGGACAATTTTAATTATGAAGAAACCAATTCTCCATTTTCAGGAAATGACTTTTTCACAATTGATCTATCTATGGTATTGGAACTAAAATTTATTTGCTATTATAATTATAAATCTTAATACTCCAAAAAAGCAAAGCATTTTAGAATATGTCAGTCCACTTTCTGACAGTTCCTTGAAATAGGTATTTTCAAGTATTTCCCCCCTTTTTGTAGGTAATGTGAGCCAAAGTGCTACAGCATTGAGCAACTAGACCAGGATGCTTCAGTAAGCAAGTTATATTTTTGCACTAGATGATTGATACTACATTCCACTTTCGTTTGTCATGCTTTATTTTTATTTCAAAAGATTAGAAAAAGAGCCACAAGAGTTTATCATTCTAATTTTAGCTTTAGATTCCTTACAGTAAGATTGGGTAATGTTTTTCATACTTTTACCTGTTTTCTTAAATCTTTTCTGTTCCCAAGTACTTCACCATCCCTATGACTTCATTCTTTTTCATGATCCATTGTTGTATGAGGTTTAGAGCATTGGACTTCAAAGTTAGACATGGGCTTGAGTCTCAGCTGTGTCACTTAAGCATCAGTGAGATGTTTAGCAAGTTAATTGTTCTAAGCCCAGCTTTTTTAAACTATAAAACAAGAATAATAATACTTATCTCACTAAGTTGTTGTGGTGACAGTTACTTAAGCTAACATATGTAAAGCGCTTAGGCCAATGTTCGGCTTGTGAAAAGTGGCTCAGTAAGAGGGTAGAGAGTTATGAGTTTAGTACTACCATTATTCTACTAGCTTAGAGGATCCCAATGCTATATAATAAGGGCAAGAACACTAACAAGATGAACTGGAAAACGAAATACTCATGTAACAATTTTATGAAGTGGTATGGTGGAACCTTAACATACTTATTTGTTCTTGAATTAGACTCAGGAAAAGTTCCAAAATAATGTTATACAGGAGAAGTATGAACAGCAAAAAGCAGAGGGTACTGTAGAAACTGTTGTAGAAAAATACCATGCATAAAAACTCATGGCCCGAGTTGTGGGTGTTTGATACATACTTGTTGAACTGAATTAAATTGGCAACTTTTAGGTCTACAGAGCTTATAACCTCTGAATCAAGAGAATATACTGCTAGTTAGAGAAGTCTTTTAAAACTATATCTAAGAGGAAGATCCCATCTGGAAAATTCCTTAGGCATTCTGAACAAAGAAAGACATTTGACCTTATCTATTCAGATATTTTATTCATATTTATTGCAATTATATTGGATGCTTTGGATCATTTTTAAGAGTAGTCATTGCCTCATTTCTCACTTCTAAAATGAAAAAGAAAACAAATAAGAGACTAAAGAAATATAAATACTATAAGATAAATAAAAACAAAGTTGTATGGAAATTCAGATGAGGGAAGGAATTTCTAAACTGAGAATCTGGGAAGATTTCAGGGAGGGAAGATATGATTTTCCCTAGACCTTGTTCTATGTATAGATGTATAGAGACTGAGGGGGAGAAGGATATTCTAGGCAGGGGAGATGACTTGTTTTTTTTTGAGACAGAGTCTCACTTTGTTGCCCAGGCTAGAGTTAGTGCCGTGGCGTCAGCCTAGCTCACAGCAAGGGAGGTGACTTTTGAAGGCATGGAGATAGGAAATTTCAGAACTTGTATGTAAAAGTGTAAAGGATATGATTTGGCTAGATCATAGGATCAACAATGAGGTATTGTGGAAGGCAGGGCCAAGGAGAACAGTGGGGCGTGGGGGTAGGTATAGCATTAAGACAAGGCAGAGAGTGATTTGTTTGAGAAATAAGTGAATGATGAATAATGACCAAGGACTCAACAAGGTAAAGCTCATTACTCTGAGCCTCATGAGAATTGGGCCTGTGGCTACTCAGTTCCCCTAGTACCTGACACATTAAGTGACCACTTAGTATTTGTTGGATGAATTATTTTAGGATGAGTTTTTAATTCTTTATTATAAAAATTTTCAGGCATAAAATTAGAATAGTATAGAGAGCTCCCATGCAGGCTGAGATTTTAGGAACAGTCATAGAAGCCATGCCTTTTTAAAAATTCTGATGCATTTCTCATTGGAAAGTGTGGGCCAGTAGAGAGATTCCCTGAGTTTCCTATCAGCCCCAAAGCAAAGGAGTGGTGATATTGGTACTACTGTTGCTATTTGTTACAGTCATTAAAACTTTGAGAACTCACTGTGTACCAGGCATCACTCTGTTTACATGTGTTAACTCAATCCTCATAGCACCCCCTGTGAGGTACATATAGGTGTTGTCTCCATTTGACAGATAAGGAAACTGGCACCCTGTAGAAAGATTAAGTGACTTGTCCAAGGTCACATTGTGAGTGGCAGAGCATGGATTTGAACTCAGGTAATCTAACACTAGAATCTGTGCCCTCATCCTCTATATTATACTACTTAACACAATTTTGTTTTAGAGCCTTGATGGCTATAGGTAGTTACATTGAAGTCATATCATACTTAAGTAGATGGCCATAGAAGTCATATCATACTTAAGTAGATGGCCATAGATGCCATAGAAATTACTAAATCTCAATTCTTTTTACAGCAATGACAATTCTGAAGCCAAGATGGGTCACACAGTTAGTTGCAGCCCTGGGACTGGTCTCCAGGATTGTGACTTACTACGTGTCAGCTACATCTCACAGAAAAGGTGGTTGTAGTTGTCAGACAGAGATAGTAGATAGAAATTTTTCCAACCCTGGTGACTCAAGCCATAAATTTTTCACTGCTCTTCTTCCTCCAAGGAGCAAGAGACATGAGACCACAACTCTGTAACATCAGTCCCATATATTTCATTTTATGCTGAGTGCTGTAACTTCCCTGAGGACCAGAAGTTTCACATCTAGGATCAGATTGGATGGCATCTAGCTGAGGAAGTTAAACTACCATTTTGGTCTAACCAAGTCTACTAGCATTAGTGGTTCCCAACCCCTGGGCTGTGGCCCAGTACCGCCTTAGCTCTGCACCATCCTCCCTGACTCATGACACCTTACCTCCCCACCTTTGGTCCATGGTAAAATTGTTTTCCATGAAACCTGTCTTTGGTGCCAAAAAGGTGGGGACCATTGATCTAGTACATTCTGTACGGTGCAGACAATTGCTTTTTGAGAGATAATAGCAGCTTTTCAGCATTAGGAGTCCAGGATACAAGACACTTATTTGGGAAGGAGGCTCAGTATTGTGATCTTAAACTTGGGGGCTGTATATTATTTATAATATAATCTATATGTGTTGACAATTCTGTTCCTTGTGTGGATTTCTTTTCTATAGGACTTTAGACACCAGTCTAAGTAGGGATTTCTATGAAACCTTCCACAATCATTCCTCAAATTACCTACTTTCTGTGGGATCCATTGGATATATTGTCATCAAAAGAACTAATGGGCTGTTTTCTTTCTCTTAAATTTTTTGAGCACAATCAGATATAAAAGTGCACTCTGAAAAAAAGAAGTTTTGTTCCCTTCCAGATCTGAGCCTAGAAATTTTTAGCTGACTTGCCTTTAAGTAATATTCTGGTACTGATAAAAAGGTGCTGGTTCGAGATAACATTGATAACCTTGATATATATATATATTGACTTGAAAGAGTGAGTTCAGAGCATTGTAGAATGGAGAGCATGTACAGCTTAAACTAAGGTCGAACTCAGTGATAAGATATGAACATCAGTGTACTTTGCATTTTTCCTTGGTGGCACCTTTAGTGGTTCAAATGAACAATGAAGACTGAAGTGTTATTCTGGAACAAGTTTTATGACAGTGAAATTCAGTTTCCCCTCAAACTCTGATCTTGACAGGCATCACTTAGGATGAGAAGTACAGTCCCCTTTTGTTCCTCTCCTTGGCCTTTCTGCTGAGCTCATCTTCCAGAGGGCCCATTAGTTTGACTGATTGGTAACAGCATAAATGACTTCCCTTACGTACCCACTGCTTATTATCGGGTTGACCCAGAGTTCATTTTAATTACATAATACCAACGTGATGATAATGATACTTGCTTTTTTAAAAAAAATCTACATTTTATATAGCTATTTCTACTTAGCTGAATTACTTCCAGAAGGCAAATATAAGGGGAAAGTGACTCCATTATCTTCTTTGCTTGTGTTAATTAGCACTACTATGCATGGGGGAGGGAAACTGTCTTGGGAACCATGGAGCTAAGAAGATGAAAGCCATGTTATTGTATTTAGTAACTAGCAATATAGCAAGCAAGTGGCTGTTTGTGGTATCCCTAGGGTGGTTGGTAGATTGGAAGTCTTGAGGGGGAATGATGCAGTCTCTGTTTCTCTGAAATATGTCTTAGGGTACCTGTCAAGCCAGAGAGAGAAAACGGGAATAGTAAGGCTGCATAGACTAGAGTTGGTTGACTCAAGCCTTATGCTGTACTTTGTTTCACTCGCAGATGGCTATAAGGAAGAGTTCTAGGAAAAAACTAAACAAGTTTTCTTTTCCAGCTGCAGCTGTGATCCTCGGCTGTCTGTCGGCATTGAAGGGACCTGATGTTTTACGTTATTGGTATGTTATAGAAAGGGCTTTCTTTATTATCTTTTTGTTAGGGTTGCTTAGTTCCCTTTTGCCTCCTTGTTCATCCCCATTCCCCTTAATAATACAGCTAAAAATATTTCCAGTCATTCCAGAATGTATATTCATGGAGTTGGCAGTGGGATTCATTCATTTGGGAAATATTTATTGAGCAATTATAGTCAGTGCCAGACACTGTTTACTGTGGAGTCTAAAGTTGAATAAGGCAAAAATCTGCCTTCAAGGAGTAGGAATTCATAACGTGAAGGGGGAACTGGTGAAGGAAGAAAAAAGTTATAATAGATGAATGTACAAGAGTTTGAAGGAGCCCAGAAGAGGGAACCCCTAACTCTGATGGGGACTGGGGAGGGCTTCTGCTAAGTAGACAGGGGAGGGGAAGGCTCCCACGTGTGTATTCTTTTTAGAAGGAAATGGAGGGAACCATTCTTTTTTACTACTTCTTTTTACTGCTTCTGTGAGGGCCCACCACATGTAGGAAGAAGGGGGCAGAGGAGCATTATATGTAGTTCGTGTAGAGCAAGAGTTTGCAAGCTCTTCTTGTAAAAGGCCAGGGAGTATTTTCGGTTTTAATGGCCACACAGCTACTCAACTCTGCCAGTGTGGTGCCACAGACAGTTTGTAAACAAATGGGTGTGGCTTTATTCCTTAGTACTTTATTTACTGAAACAGGCAGTGGGTGGGATTTGGCCTGAGGGCTGCAGTAGCTGACCCCGGGGGTAGAAGATCCTGTCTTCATCCACGGGGGTAGTGACCCAGCATAGTGTTTCTTTGGCAGTCTTGCAGTCTCATACTGACTTCCTGTAAGTTTTGAGAGATGGCTATCCTTTTCCATTAACGAGAGGCTGTAATGTGTAACTAGCAGATGGTTTGTGTGTTTCTCCTTTACATAGGTGGAATCACAGTATCTGTGGTTGCATTCTTCTTCACAATTAAGTTCCTCTTTGAGCTTGCCGCACGTGTAGTCAGCTTCCTCCAGAATGAGGACCGTGAGCGCCGAGGGGACCGGACTATTTATGACTACGTGCGGGGAAATTACCTGGATCCCCGGTCTTGCAAAGTCTACTGGGATTGGAAGGACCCCTATGAGGTGGGCCACAGCATGGCCTTCCGAGTGCATGTAAGGGAATGTTTCTGTCTCCGTACCCATTGGGGTTTCTGAGTCACTTGCTTTCCAGAGCTCAGTTCAGTCTATTGGTAGTGCTGGCCTGGAATGTTAACATTTTTTGCTTGTTTTTCAGCTCCTCCCAGGAGCTTGGGAATTGTTACTGTCTGAAGAGTTATAAATTTCTCTATCATTTTGGTTTAATAGGTGCTTACCTTTGAAGAAGTATAAAGCTTAAGGTTACCTTTTCAAAACAAGAAAAATATTACTAAAAAGAGTAGATGTTACAGATCAGGGGTTGGCAAATCAGGCCCACCTTCTGTTTCTGCAAATACATTTTTATTGTAACATAGCCACACCCATTCATCATGTATTGACTATCGCTGCTTTCACACTTGAATAGTTATAGCAGTTGAGTTGTGTATGGCTCATAAAACCAAATATATTTACTGTTCTGCACTATACAGAAAACATTTGCTGAGACCTGCAGTGACTTCTCCAACTGTAGCATTAAGCTTGGCTTGAGAGCCTTCTGAAACCCTCTTACCCTTGCCTGGTGCTCTAACTCACTTGATGTCAGTGCTACTGGCTGACTTACCTTTAAATTTGGGTTAGCACTGATAATGTAATATAAACGGCTGATAGGACTAAGGAGGCAGGAGTGGTGGTTCAGAAATGTCAAGCTGAGATGGACATTTTCTTGATTCAGTGATAATTCTACCCCTGGCCTCTGAACATATTAAGAATTTTTTCATCATTGAATGGTCTCTTTGGAGTGTTGGGGGCATTGGTTTCTCTCTGTGTTTCTGTGAGTAAGACTGTAAGGAGTGGATAGGTACTGGGATTTACTAGTGTGGCCTCTGCCAGCTAATACCTCTCTCCCCACACTCTCTAATTACATAGGAGATGATTTTTTCCCTTCGTTCACTAATGGATACTCCTCTTCTCCCCACTGCAGTTATTCTATAAGAATGGGCAGCCTTTCCCTGCACATCGGCCTGTGGGACTAAGAGTTCACATCTCTCATGTTGAGCTAGCAGTGGAGATTCCAGTAACTCAGGAAGTCCTTCAGGAGCCCAATTCCAATGTGGTAAAGGTGGCCTTCACTGTGCGCAAGGCTGGGCGTTACGAAATCACAGTGAAGCTTGGTGGATTAAATGTGGCCTATAGTCCTTACTACAAAATTTTTCAGCCTGGTAGGTTTTTTTTTTCTAATTGTTTCTCCCTTTATCTCCTTCCCTCTTCCTCACTCCCTCCATTCTTTCTTTTTTTTAAAATAACACCTTAATTGAGATTTCATTTACATGTCATAACAGTTCATCCATTTAAAATATACAGTTTGATGGTTTTTAAAGTTCACAGAGTTGTACAGTCATCATCCCAGTCAATTTTAGAGGACTTTCATCACCCCAGAAAGAAACCCAATACATATAGCAATCACTTTTTCCCCACCCTCCAGCCCTAGGCAACCATTAATCTACTGCCTCTGCAGATTTGCCCACTCTGGACGTTTCATATAAATGTAATCATAAAATATGTGACCTTTTGTGACTGGCTTGTTTTATTTAATATGATACTTTTAGGGTTCATCCATCCTATAGCATGAATTAATACTTCATTTCTTTTTATTGCCAAATAATATTCCTTTGTATGTATATACTACCTTTTATTTATCCATTTGTCAGTTGATAGACATTTAGTTTGTTTCTGCTTTTTGGCTACTGTAAGTAATGCTGTTGCAAACATTTATGTACAAGCTTTTGTGTGGGCATATGTTTTTATTTCTCTATAAGTAGAATTGCTGAGTCATCAATCTGGTAAGTTCTTAAGTGACAGGGTGCCAGAATAGACAAAAAATAAATCCTTCTGATTTTTGAAACCTTTTTAAGTAAAAGCACCTTGACCCTAATCCCATATTTGTTGCCAATATGTGTTTGCTTTGTCATTGAAGAGTGCCTGCCCAAGCTTCTAATATCTGAGAATTGAAGCCTTTATCCCTACTCCCCCCTCCCCCCATGTCCTTTATGCCAGATAACAGATGCTCACTGGTATTGAAGTCTAAAATTATAGTCTCCGATTCTCAGAACGGAACCTATATGTATAGTGTGTTGAGATCCTGTCTGTCCTTGTGTCATTTTTTATTTTAGCCATTTTGATAAGTGTTTAGTATTATCTTATTGTGCTTTTAATTTGCATTTCTCAAATGGTTAATGATGTTGAACATTATTTCATGTGCTTATTTGCCATCTGTGTATCCTCTTTGATAAAATGTCTCTTCATATCTTTTGCCCACTTCCTAATTGGAATTTTTTGGTTTTTTACTGTTGAGTTTGAGAGTTCTTTGTACATTGTACATGGTAGTCCTTTGTTAAATATGTGGTCTGCAAATCTCCCTATCTGTAGCTTTTCTTTTTATCCCCTTAACAGGGCCTTTCATGGAGCAAATGTTTTTAATTTTCATGAAATCCAGTTTATGCTTTTTTATTTTTTTTATCTGAGACAAAGTCTTGTTCTGTCACCCCGGGTAGAGTGCAGTGGTGTCATCATAGCTTACAGCATCCTCAAACTCTAGGGCTCAAGCTATCCTGCTGCCTCAGCTTCCCAGAGTGCTGGGGTTACAGGTATGAGCCACCTCAGCTGGCCTACATTTTATATTTAAGATCACGATCCACTTATAGTTAATTTTTGTATGTGAGATTTGGGTGAAGGTTCTCTTTTTTGCTTATAGATGTCTGGTTGCTCTAGCACCATTTGTTGAAAGGGCTATCTTTCCTCCATTACATTGCTTTTGCACCTTTGCCAAAACTCAGTTGGGCATATTTGTGGGATCTACTTCTGGGTTCTCTGTTCTTTTTCATTAGTCAATGTAAGTATTTCTCCACCATTACCACAGTCTCTTTCATTACTGTAGCTTTTATAATAAATCTTAAGATATATCATCTTATAATAGGTCTTATAATTAGTAAACTGGACTCTTCACACTTCATTCTTCTTTTTCAAAATTGTCTTAGCTATTCTATTAATAGTTCTTTTGCCATTCCTTATAAATTTTAGAATAATCTTGTCTAAATGTAATAAGAATTACATTAAACTTGTATATCAATTTGAGGAAAATTGACATCTGCATTATGTTGAGTCTTCTGTAAATATGATATGTTCCTCCATTTATTTAGATCTGTTTTGTTTCTTTTATCAGTGTTTTGTAGTTTTCAACATACAAGTCTTATACATGTTTTATTAGATTTGCAACTACGTATTTCATGGTGTTTTTTTGTGTGTTTATTTTTTACAATTGTTTGGCACTTAATTTTAGGGCCCACCTCACTCTTAGGTTCCCAGTGGGACTGTAGGCACCATATTTGTAACTCTTGTTTCTATTTCCTCCGAGTTCTTTACTTATTTTATCTAATGCTTACAGTGGTTAAGAATTTGTAAAAATGAGCCTCAAAGTTTATTTGAGTTAATTTTTCTATTTCCTTCCCCCACCCCTCTTAATAGTGTTATTTATCCCTAGATAAATACCTAGGGATCTAGCTCTCTAGGACTCACCGAGCAGACCTTTGTGCCCTAAAGAGTTCCCCTCTAAACTTTAGATTCCATTGTCTTTGTTCTAGGAATGGTGGTTCCTTCCAAGACCAAAATTGTGTGCCATTTTTCTACTCTTGTGTTGACCTGTGGGCAGCCACACACCCTTCAAATAGTGCCCCGAGATGAGTATGACAACCCTACCAACAATTCCACATCTTTGAGAGATGAGCACAATTACAGTTTGTCCATTCATGAGGTAAGCAGCCTCCCTTCTTTATGTGGTGGGGAGAGCAGACTCCTTTCTCTGTCATTGTCACCCTTTCTAATTTACTTCCATCTCTTGTCTCCTTGTCCCTGCCTTCCGTGCTGTCTGTATCTTCATCTGACAATACCTGTCTTATTAGTAATTGTGAGACTTAGATTAGATCATAGATAGGGAAGTTCTTGATAAAGAGTAAATTGTCTTGTAAATAGGGAAAAATTTTTTATGTGGAGTGATGCTTTGTTATCTTCTTGTAGCTCGGCCCTCAAGAAGAAGAGAGTACTGATGTTTCATTTGAGAAGTCAGTGACATCCAACAGGCAGACTTGCCAGGTGTTCTTGCGACTCACCCTGCATTCTCGTGGTTGCTTTCGTGCCTGCATTTCATACCAAAATCAGCCAATCAATAATGGCGAGTTTGACATTATTGTCCTAAGTGGTGAGTTGAAAGAAAAGGTGTGATTTAGTCCTATTCCTCAGCCACTTCTTTGCTTGACCTCACAAACATTTGATATTTGAGCCATGGTTGGCTTAGTTCCTGTGGGCTAAAGGACTGGTGATAGGCAATTTTTTTCTTCCCTGACTTCTACTTTAAAACTTATTCCTTATTATACTTCAGAGAACGAGAGGAATATTGTCGAACGCAACGTGTCCACCTCAGGTGTGAGCATTTACTTTGAGGCTTATCTTTATAATGCTACCAACTGTACCAGCACTCCGTGGCACCTTCCACCCATGCACATGAGCTCTTCCCAGCGCCGGCCCTCCACTGCTATTGAAGAGGAAGATGAAGACTCACCCTCTGAGTGCCACACCCCCGAGAAAGTAAAGAAACCGAAGAAGGTGTACTGCTATGTGTCACCAAAGGTTGGAACTCCCATTCTTGCCTTAAAATCCCTCTACCTGAGCCTGCATGTATTCGGTATTTGGTAACAGAAACCACGAAGTAGCAGTCTATTTATCAGGGCAAGATATTGACTTGTGGGGCTTCTGGGAGACTAAGTTAAGCAGGAGATTGTGCCACTTATACTTCTGCAAATATTTGGTTTCAGTGAGACTAAATGTGTATCTGAAGCCTTGGTGCTTTAGAGGACCTGTGTCATTCTGTCCTTTGATTGCTTCTAGAAGATTTTTCAAGGCATGGTTCTTAAGAGTTGTGTAGAAAGCTACTTTTAGCCATTAAAAATTTTTCACTAGTAGAAAAATCACTGTTGGCTTCTTGTGCTATATTGGAACAATTTGATCTTTCATTCTGTGATTGGTGAAACCACTGTAATGCATGTCACTATCAGGCTACAAGAATAAAGACATATTGTCAGGGAAAAAAGGTGAACTTCCCAAGCCCCTGAGCTAAGAGGCGCTTTGTGTTAAAAGTTCCTTTTTAATGTTTGTATTTTCATATTCGTTCAGTCCTCATAAAAATGAGACTCTGTTGAAACATCCCATTATATCCCTTTAATCTCATAACCAGAACTGAATTTAATTCTGTTCTACTTCAGAACACTTCACTGTTGTACCATTCTTCATTTAAAAATCTAGCCTTAAATTTAGTCTGGGTGGGATGGTAATGAGGAAAATGGATGGAGTAGGTAAATGAAACAAGATTGGCTATGAGTTGATAATTGTTGAAGCTGTGACAGATTCATTGTATTATTATTTTTTTCTTTAGTATGTGTTCGAAATTTTCTTTAATGAAGTTTTTAAAAGGAAAAAAATCTGACCTGCACATTCAGATAAAAGGGTTTTTCATAGGTTAAAAAATTATTGCATTGTCCTTTCTTCTTTTGTAAATGGCATAAAGAGACTCCTCTTTATTCTTACATGAAGTGTTTTTATGAACTATTTTGTATGAGACACCCCCCTCCCCCCCGTCACCCCGCTGCCCATCTTCCTACCTTTCCTTCTCTGGCAAAGCCTTAGAACCATTCAAATAGGGGTAAAGCAGTAGGTTACTGGTGTCCTCTGTCCACTGATTTGGAAGAAGTCATTCTGAGCAGCATCAGGCTGAAGAGAAGGAGATTTTAATTGTTTCTAGGTAAAATCTTCTCTACCCATAAAGTGAAAACGTGATCTCAGATATTGAGAAATTGTAGTAAGACTTAAATATTAAGATTATGAAGTATCTCTGTATGAAATGGCATTGTCAGAGTAGCATTTTTCATTTGCCTTTTTAAAGATATAGTTGATATATTTATTTGATTTTAGTAGTGATTGGTCATTTTTGTCCATGGAGGAAAAAGGATATTATGAGAAATGTAGATGGGGACTATGATATTTGAATTCTAATATCCAAATAGAGCCATTTTATTTATCATTCACTTCCTGTTCTTCCTATTGGTCCTCTAGCAATTCTCAGTGAAGGAGTTCTACCTGAAAATCATTCCCTGGCGCCTTTACACCTTCCGAGTGTGCCCAGGAACAAAAGTAAGTTGAGCCTCACATCTGGCTCATGCTGAGCAGGCTTCGGCTCTGGAATGTTTCAGCCTTTTCTTTTTTCCCAGAAGGGTTTTTGGTGTTTCTGGAAGTTCTCGCTGTGCACACAGTATTCATTGCCTAACAAAGAAAGGGTGTTATCTCCTCGCTAAATTGCATGAAGAATATATATAAATTCTGGAAGGGCACATGCCTATAAAAGCAGGAATTAGTAACAACTCAGAATACTTCACTAGTTATCCTTTGCTTCCAAGACTAAGTTAATAGAAGGGATATTGGTAACTCTGGCCCAAGCTTGGTCTCCCAGTGTGCTGAAGCTAACTCTTTTAGAAACAGCATTCTCATATATTAAAAATAAATGGTTTCCTTAACTTTTCTGGGCCTTTGGAATCTAAAGTTTTGCCCAAAGTCTTGAATATGTCATTTTATAAAAATCATTTTCCTCCAGCCAGTTTGGAGTAGTGATTTCTTGCTATTTTATATATACTTGGTACTCTCACCCTTCTTATATTTTATGTTGGAAGGTCTGTAATGTTGCCTGTGATCCTTAGTAAAGGCAGTCTCTATGACTAAAATAATTTAAAATCTGAATTGTAGAACATTGAGGTGAAAAGAAAGGAGATGTATTCCTGGTAGGTACTCACTTGGAGAAAACAGACTTACTTGTTTTTGTTGGTTGGTACAGAAGGGTAGGGGTGTGGAGAGTTGTTGCTGGGTTTGAGGGTTTTATAGATTAACTTCTTTTTTTTCCTTGCTAGTTTTCATACCTTGGCCCTGACCCTGTCCATAAGCTGCTCACACTGGTGGTAGATGATGGCATTCAGCCTCCTGTGGAGCTCAGCTGTAAGGAGAGGAACATTCTAGCCGCCACTTTCATCCGCTCCCTGCATAAGAACATAGGTGAAGTTGGACAGGAATTCTGATGGGGAGGGTAGTGACCCACGCCACCCTGGGTACATGACGGTGTGGAGGTGGGACTCCACAGATGTCTCGAAATGAGGGAGTAATCATGATGGATCTTGCTGCTCCTCAGGAGGCTCTGAGACCTTTCAGGACAAGGTGAACTTTTTCCAGCGAGAGCTTCGGCAGGTACATATGAAAAGACCACATTCCAAAGTCACCCTGAAGGTCAGCAGACACGCCTTATTGGAATCGGTGCGTAGAGCTTCATTTCTATCACCAGATGCTGAAGTTTTACAACTAAGAACCTCTTTAGTATTTGGTTATATTCTACAGGTCATCTTTTTTATGAAACCTAAATTTCTATCTTTATATCTGTAAAAGATACATTTTTTATTTGTTTGATTATACTAAGTTTAGGGCAGAGTTGTTGGAGGTATGTTATTTAGGGAGAGAGATTAGTTGACTCATTGGCTTTCAAATCTACTGAAATTATTCATGAAGAGTGTCATGGAACTCCTATGTAGGGCAGGTGTAAGTGGTGGTTACAGAAGAAAGTTCTTGTTATTGAATCCTTGGAATAGAAGAGCTCTTGTTGGAAATGATTTTTGTTGTCACTCTGGTCTGATGGAAAAGGAACACCTGATGTGTGTCTGTCTCCACTGCACAGACACTGGCATAGTTCTTACATTCCCTGAGAATGAGAAGGGTTGGTCCCTCTCCAGAAAGTGTTTGTGATGTTTGGCTCTGGTAGGTGTGACTGGAAACCCCTTTTCACAGCCACATTCTCTGTGTGGCATGGCTCCCTGTCTGAACCTAGCCTTGTGGATAAAGATGTCTAGTGGATAGACTTAACTTTGCTGAAAACCAGGCCTCCTTGGTTCTGTCGCTCACAGCTTACTAACTCAAGTCATTTTTTATTTCTTTATGCAAGAGATTTTCTATTAATAAAATGAGGGTTTGTTTTTTTAAGGAAATAAACCAAACAGCTTGAACTTTCCAACAAGTGATGGTATAAAGACATATTAGATTATTTTTAAAAACTTTAAAGTTCCTTTGGAGATATGTACATTCTAAATATAAGGTGGTATTATTAAAGCTTATTTATGACTAATCTGTCTCTCCAAGTAGTCGTGGTTAGTTCAGGAGACAATGGCGATGCTCTTGTGTTTTTGTCTTTGACATCTAGGGGATGCCAGCCAGTGTTCTGACAATTCCCTTCCTTTCACTGCTTTTCAGTCTCTGAAAGCCACTCGGAATTTCTCTATCTCAGATTGGAGCAAGAACTTTGAAGTGGTTTTCCAGGATGAAGAAGGTCAGTTTTGAAATTTATATTCATCTTTTTAACTATCCTCCACACTCCAACTCTCACTCTTACTCCTTCTCCACAAAAAAACAAAAACAACTCCCTCCCCACTGCCCCCTAAATCCCTCCCCCCAAACCCAGAGTCAAGAAAGAAGGGTGGTGGTTTTTGACTACCTGGCATGGAGGAGCTTGTAGAGCACAGACATATGGGGTCTTGGAGGGAGGACTCTAAGAGTGTTTGAACCAGAATGGCAAAGTAACTTTGGTTACTTTGAGAGAACTCGTCATTTCCTGGGATTTCTGATCTGTTTCGATACTAGGGGGCATTAGCTTATTCATCAAAATACCTTTAATCCTACAGAAAGGTGTAGGACTTCAAAAAAAGTCCACAGTTTAGGTGAGTTGCAACAGGGAAACACTAAGATAGTGGAATAGACGGGATGTGGAGAGTATATAATAAAATGATGACTAAATGAACAAAAGTGGTAAGTAGAGGTAGGCTGGAGTCATTTTTTATTTTCGTTATACTTTTCAGCTCTGGACTGGGGAGGGCCTCGCCGGGAATGGTTTGACCTAATCAGCAAAGCCCTATTTGACACCACCAATCAGCTTTTCACCCGGTTCAGTGACAACAACCAAGCATTAGTGAGTCTGTGACTTTCCCATGGGGTGGGTGAAAAATGGGGATTTTGGCAATTACGTTGTAATGGATATTATGTTGTTGTCTATCCATTATGTTGTAATATATAGACTAACAGGGGCTTGAAATTATGGAACTGACCTAGGAGTGTGACAACCTGTGTCCTGTTCTTAATTTTGCTACTTGTAATATGAGCTAATCAGATGATCTCTTTCCTCTTTACTTTCATTATTTCATCTGTAAAATAAGAAAAGATGCAGGTAGATGAATATTGGACTAAAAAGCATTATAGTACAATGGCTACTCTACTAATTATTATAATAGTTAAGCCATTTTCTCAAAATATACCTGAAGCAATTGATTTCTGTACTAGGTCTTTGACTAGGTAGAGGCATCAGGGATAGAGAAGTAGACTTTGGCTGAAAGAAGTTTTAGTTTAGGGAAAAAGTATCACATTACCCACTGATTCAATTACATACTCAGCTAGGGACCACAAACTTGATATAAGTCCATTTTTGCCTTTTATCCTCCAGTCACTTTGAATTACTATGTCTAATGTCATTTGGGCATTTGGCTTTTTGATCCTCACACTGAAATTCCTGCTTCCTTGGCATGGAGTTGGGGAGGGAGGGTCTTTCCAGAACTAGGCTTGAAGAAAAATGGCCCAGGGCCTTTCAGTCTTTTTCTTGGACAGGTGCATCCCAACCCTAATCGCCCAGCTCATCTGCGTCTGAAGATGTATGAGTTTGCAGGGCGGCTCGTGGGCAAGTGTCTTTATGAGTCCTCTCTTGGAGGAGCCTACAAGCAGTTGGTCCGAGCTCGCTTCACCCGTTCTTTCCTGGCCCAAATCATAGGACTACGTATGCATTACAAGGTAACACCTTGGGGGTGCATTTTCTACTAAGGCCCCCTGGCCATTAACTCTGGAGTCTCTTCACCTAAGCTTATTAATCTTAAGGTTAAAGAAATTAAATTAAGTGGTTCCAACCAGTTACAAATTTCATTTCTGGGCAAGAGCATTCATGTTCTGTTCTGCATCTTTCTGTCTCCCCAGTACTTTGAAACAGATGACCCAGAATTCTACAAATCTAAAGTTTGCTTTATCCTCAACAATGACATGAGTGAGATGGAGCTGGTATTTGCAGAAGAGAAATATAACAAATCAGGTCAATTAGATAAGGTGAGAAAGAGGACCAAAGGCTGTGGGTCTCATGTTCTCCAGCTTTCTCTAGAGCAGTATTGGCTAATAGAACTTTCTGCAATGGTGGGAATGTTCTATATTTGTGTTGTCTGTTAAGTACCCAAAATGTGGCTAGTGTGACCAAATAATGGAATTTCTCATTTTATCTTATTTTAATTAATTTAAATTTAAATAACTGTACTTGACTAGCAGCTGCCATATTGCACAGCTTTAGGGCACCACATCCCATACTTTATGATTTCAGCCCATTTGAGTGGAGCAAAAGACACATGTGCCCATCTGTCCCACCCATTCCTACTTTGCAGTCAAAAAGGAACTGAGTGTTAATGAAGTATCACTGTACAAGAAGATTTGGAAGAGATGGCAGTGTCTTCATCAGTATTAGCAGTAGTGATGTAGAGGATTCCTATTTAAACACAATGCCTATAAATTTCAAAACATTTTATTAGAATATTATTGGCCATAGGTATTTCTGATGCAAATATGTTTCTGTTTACATTGTGGGGTTAAACAGTATCAAATGATAATGATGAAGCTAAAGTTGCAGTAATATATAATTAAGAGCAAAATAGCAGTGATTGAAAATTGTGACCACTGGTACCACTGTAATGATAATCAGATATCCTATCTGAAAATTATGGGAATCCCAGCTGTCTGCCTTTGTACACATGAGGTCAGAGCCTATCTTCCTGACCCTGCATAGTAAGGCAGCGAGAGTCAATAGAATACTGAATTAGAGCCCTAAGGCCCAAGGGAGTGCTCATTTTAATTGAGTTTAATATGAATATTAAATCTTAATAATTTTTTTTTTTTGAGACAGAGTCTCACTTTGTTGCCCAGGTTAGAGTGAGTGCTGTGGCATCAGCCTAGCTCACAGCAACCTCAATCTCCTGGGCTCAAGGGATCCTCCTGCCTCAGCCTCCCGAGTAGCTGGGACTATAGGCATGTACCACCATGCCCAGCTAATTTTTTGTATATATATTTTTAGTTGGTCAATTAATTTCTTTCTATTTTTAGTAGAGATGGGGTCTCGCTCAGGCTGGTTTCCACCTCCTGACCTCGAGCAATCCACCCGCCTCAGCCTCCCAGAGTGCTAGGATTACAGGCGTGAGCCACCATGCCCGGCCTATTAATTTATTTCTGTGAAATGCTTAGTTGCATAAAATAAAAATGCAGAATTATATACAATAGAAAAAAAGATTTACATTTTTAAATCCATTGAGAATCCCTATGGTAGATTAACATTCTGTTCCTACCATGCTGTCATCAAGATCTTAAAATCTGGTCTTATAACTTCATTCACTTATGGAGACAACCATGGTCACTTTACACAAATTTTTAACATGGTGGTTTTAAACTGTGCTTCAGAGCTCCCTCAGATTTCCTTTACAAGTTGTTTATTGGGAGATACCAATTCTATTTGAGAATCATATAGCTTGTTCTGCTTTTGCAGATAGGAAAATTGAGGGCCCAAATAGCTAAGTGACTGAAGGTCTGTAGGAAGTTAGCATCAGGGTTGGGATTAGAATACAGTATCTCCAAGTTTTAAGCTGTGGCTCTTTCTGTTGACTCACATGAAAGATAGAAGAACATGCAGAACAACTGTTCTCATCTTCACACTTCTGAGACATAAAAAGAATTCTTCACTACTTATCTATTCACTCTCACTTGCTCAGAGAAGAAGTCAGTAATAGTTTAATTTTGGATCATTTTTTTTCTTTTTTTTTTTTTTTTTTACTCAGAACCAGTATGCTATAATTTTGGATCATTTGGATTAAAATATTGCTAGCAAGGAATCTTGATATATTCCTGTTGCATCACTGTTACTTGACTGGGTCAGAGAAAATGTCACACAGACACCCATTTCAGAAATAGTAGCTAGTGGAATATAGCAATAGTGGTAGGAACCATGAAGCTTAGTAACTAACTAAAAGCAAGTGTGTTAAAAAGCTGGATGCACAGCAGAAATTTATGACTGGCACTGATGGCGGTCAGTAATGCTGTTTTAGAACATACTGGGCAGGTATCATCGTATAAATTTCCATCCACAGCCTCTCTTTGTGTGTCTTTTGTGTCCTGTTTCAGGTTGTAGAACTCATGACAGGTGGAGCCCAAACCCCAGTAACCAATGCAAATAAAATCTTCTACTTAAATTTGCTGGCCCAATATCGGCTGGCTAGTCAAGTGAAAGAGGAAGTGGAACATTTCCTAAAAGGTCAGATCCTGTTTACTCTTGGCCTTGAAGTTAAAATACCTGTATCCGTGGTGTGGATATGGCTTTAACTTGGCTACTTTGTTTCAGGCCTGAATGAGTTGGTCCCTGAGAACCTTTTGGCTATTTTTGATGAGAATGAACTTGAGGTAAGTGCTTACAATTCAGACTACTCCTGTTCTTGACTCAGTATCCACAGGAACCAACCTGGTGCACCTTCTGTTATGAGATGTAGCAGGACAGCCGTTTATGCAAGGGTTGGTTTCACTTTTGTCACTTCCATTCATTGACCCTTTCTTCAGCTTTTAAAAACTTAGAATGTAAATGTTAGAAAGCAAATAGCTAATTATTATAAAGAGTAATAAGTAACATTCACTTATTCATCAAATATTATTGATACTGGTTAAGTAGTAAAGAATGTTGGTATCAGGTATAGTCTTCATAAAATCCCATGACATTTAAGGAAATAGTAGAACTTATGTATTGTGTGGCACTGGGGACATGGTAGTGAATAAGACAAAGTTCCAGCCCTCTTGGGCTATATTCTAGAGGAGGAGACAAACCAAAAGATGCGAACATATTTCAAAGTATTGGACCATAACACTGTATTGTATATATTTTTATTTGTTTTATTTTATTTTTTTTAGAGACAGGGTCTCTCTCACTCAGTTGCCCAGACTAGAGTGCAGTGGTGTGATCATACCTCACTGTGGCCTTGAACTCTGGCCTCAAGTGATCCTCCCGCTTTAGCCCCCTAATACAGGTGTGAGTCATTGTGCCCAGCCCATATTTTTATATACATAGTAAATATATTCTTATTTTAGGTCCTATAACAACAATAACAAAAAAAAAAGCAGTAAGATGATAAATACAAATTCTATAATTGAAGTCCACACCAGGTATGGGCAAAGAATAGAATCAATTTGTCTTTAGCTGCTAACATGGTGCAATGCAAGTTACTAGTTTTAACTTTCCATAGTTTTTATGAGGCATGTGTTTCTGCAAACTGTTTCCTTTAGGGAGGATAATTCTTTAAAAATGGGGGTTGGGGAAAGTAGTTTCAGGTGGTCTTGTGTAATTCTTACTCTTATTGACTGAACTGGCTTGGAGAACAAGAATCAAAAACTTGTGTCATTTTTATCACATTTTGTACCTTCAGATGTGAAATCCAAACAAGATGAACTCTCCACATCTCAGCCTAAAGATATACCTATCAGTGCTTTTATTTTGGGTGCTAAGGAATAGATAACTGGTATATTTTATCTTGAAGCGAAGCATTTGTAACAATTTGTAAAAGTGAGTAGAAAGGAAGGACACAGTCTCTTATAGTTGTTCCACATCTTGCTCTTTGTGACTCATTAGCTTAGCAAATTCTTTTTCAAGGAGCCAAGGCTTCCCAGGCTTAGTTTGGGCTTTTCTTGTCTCCTGACTAGGATGTATCATTCTTTATAGCTATTGGATGAGTACTCACAGTCTGCTAAGTAACATGCTGGATCCTGAACCGAATTAGGATATCAACAAAATGTTTAGGAATCTGATGTCATTAATGTTCTCATTTTTTGGCATACTTTTTAATTTATCTGAAGAAGTAGAGGCAGGGCTAAAGGGAGGGTAGTAAAAGTTCAGTCCACAAAAGAAGGACGGATCCTGGGAAAAGGCCACCTGACAAATTCATAAATGGGGCCGAGGGTCTCCATCAAAGGAAAAGGGCTGCCTTTTCTCCCTGATGTTCCCAGAGCAGACTATCAGTGAACACTCAGGTTTTTTATTTTTTTCCTTTGTTTCAATTAAAAATAATCCATCGCAGAAGTTCTTAGGGTACTCATTAGAAACGCTGGAATACTCCTTTAACCTACACGAGCTTGGAACCCATTCCTAAAGATTTTGATTCAATAGGTCTGGGGTAGGGGCCACAAACATCTATATGTTTTTTAAAAGCTGTGTGATTCTTTTTTTTTTTTACCACGCTGGTTAACAACCATTGGCCTATTGTATGTAATTGATTTTCCTAAAACAGTATTCTGGCATTATGTTCTCACCTTCTGTCTTTTTCCTGGTGTTTTCTTTCTGGGCATTTTGCATGTTATCGTAGGTGGTTTTGACCTTATGATGTGTCTTTGTCTCTCTGACTGTTGTAGTCACACTTGCTGTTTTTCTGTAGCTGCTGATGTGTGGGACTGGAGACATCAGTGTGTCTGACTTCAAAGCCCATGCAGTAGTTGTTGGTGGCTCATGGCATTTCAGAGAAAAGGTAAGTGGGCCTTGTTACACTTGGATTTGTGCCAAGCTTAAAGGAAAAGTTTCAGAACAAAAAAGTAGAGGAGTCAAAGAAGCTGGCTTGTTGTTTGGGACACAGTGATACATATGGGAAAGATAGGTGGTTGTCCATGCAGAAAGGAGCCCTGATCCCTAAGGGCTGTCATGCTGACTGCCACAGGAATAATAAATTGGAATTACAAAGAAATAAAACCAGGCAATCATTGACTACCCTCCTGACCATGTGACAATGTAAATTCCTGAAGAAGTTGTCAACTCTAACTATTCCTACCTATCCCTCATAGAACCGTAACTGGGGTACAGCCCCACTTCATGGTATCTTGTTCCTTCCCCCAGGGACCAAATCCTAGCCTGTGTACCATGTGTGATCCTTGTGCTCTCTCTGCCAGGTCATGAGGTGGTTTTGGACTGTGGTTTCCAGTTTGACCCAGGAAGAGTTGGCTCGGCTACTTCAGTTCACAACAGGCTCCTCTCAGCTACCACCTGGAGGCTTTGCTGCCCTCTGTCCCTCATTTCAGATTATTGCTGCTCCAACCCATAGCACGCTACCTACTGCACACACATGGTAGGTATCTGACTGCCTGGTACATGCCTGGGGTTTCTGGTGGTATGAGTTAATCTCTTTTCCCCTTGCCCTTCCAGTTTTAACCAGCTGTGCCTCCCTACGTATGACTCCTATGAAGAGGTGCACAGGATGCTGCAGCTGGCCATCAGCGAGGGTTGTGAGGGCTTTGGCATGCTCTGACCACTCTCCTGCCATCTCCTTGGCTCTCAGGCTCTCTGGAGCATCCAAGCACACATTACAGACATCGTAACTACTGATCCTAACACACATAACCATCAGCCAGAAGATGCCGCATGCTCCCCTGTGTCTGGAGTATTTTGTCACCTACAAGCCTTGTCCTTACCTCACCCCCAGCCTGCCCATGTCTGCCACAGGCCACTTTGGCATGGTATGTAAGCTGAGTTCTCCGTTCTGTCGTAAGAAGAGGACTGCACTGCTGTCATTTCATTTGGTCATTTGAAGAACTCAGTAGCTGAGGGAAGCTGGTGTGCAGAAGCCTTAAATCCACACCTTGCTCCACCTCCCTCTGCAGATGCTTCTTGGAGGTGCCCTCTTTGGCCCTCACTACTTGACCAGACTGGTACCTGAGTCTTTTTCGTGGGTGGGATCATTGCCTCTTCTAGTCAGGAGCCAGGAGAGGCACAGATAGGAAGTGGCCCACCTGAGCAATCTTTGGTTTTGTCCCCCTTCACAATGGCAGGCACAGGCCATGGCACTGGACTACCTCTAATGAGGACTGATAGCACAAAAGGATCTTTTTTTGTGGTGTCAGAACTAGAAACAGCACTTTCCCTTCAGGCATTTCTGGAAGCGATTATTAATCCATAAAGAAGAACTCTCTAAGCTTTTTCTTGAATTTCAGCCAGTGAGAAAAGCAGATAGACTGAAGAATGTGAAGGATAGCTGAGCGGTAGCCTCCAGCGCTTAATATGATTCTCCTTTAGGGTTGTGGGGCATGTCTAGGCACATGACTACTGAGGCTTTTCCCTGAGTTTGTTCTTTTGGCTGAGGTGTGGCTGGGCAGGGCCACTGACCCCTAAGTTAGGTAGTCTACTAAGAGCTGGGGATTCTTTAGAGTTCTACTCAAGAAAATTTTGTAGCAAAGGATGGAACAGTAAGAATAGCATGCCAGCAGTCCCTGGTTTTCTCTGTGCTTGGTGTTCTGTGTTAGCATAACAAGAAAGGAACGGGGTTTGGGAGTTTAAGTGCTTATCACAGGTCCCTGGGGTCAGGATACTGGGGACAGACATGGAGTAGATAAATAGGTTGGGCAGTAAATGCCTAGTAATCCCCAGTACTTCCCTTCGCTCCTTCGGTTACCAGGAAGGAGAACTAAGGAGGGAGGAAGCTATATTTGCTTCACTGTTGAGTGATGATTGAAGAGTACCTGCTGCTGTCTCTTGGAAGATGACAACACCGTTTTTCATTACTGTTTCAGTGAAAACAATTTCAAGCCTCAGAATCTCATCAACTTCCCAGATTTCTGTTTTTAAGAAGGCTTTGTTGCAAGCTACCATTCCCGATGGGGCACTCAATTCTGAGAATATTACAAGCCATCTTTATTGCCAAAACCAGCAAGTACACAGAGTCCTGAGACAAGGCAGGACTTGTGGCAATGCCTTGGCCTCCTGGAAGCATGTCTGAGCCCTCCTGTTCCCAGGGATCATGTGAAACAAGCCCTCCTGAGCTGCTGCAATTCCTGTCTGACCTCGCTCCTTGCAGTTGTCATTTGTCCTTTCTTGGCATGGGTGCTGACCTCTCCTGTCCTTGGGTCCGGGATCCAGCAGCAGGGCGTCTATACCCCAGGATCCTCCATGCCACATGGTCACTGCTCTCCTCAGGGACCAGGACAAGGTGCTGCTGCTTTCCCAAATTTTTTCCCATGGGATATGTACAGGAAAGTTTAGTCATCACCCTGGGAAACATGATGCTGCCCCTTGGGCCCAGATAGGGGTTTCCAGCTGAGGGCATGTGGGCTGGTTCTGCTGTTTTTGGCAGTTGTTCCTCATCTGGATTCTGCATTCTTCCCTCTGGCAGCCATCCAGAGACTGATGCTAGAGATTGAGTTGATTGTCTTGGCTAGATCTGTCATTTTAAGCTCTAGTCATAGCACTTTTTCAGAGCATCCTAGGCACCATTGCAGCCCAGCTGGGGCAGCTGCATCCCTCTGGTGGTCCTTAGACACCAGAATCTTTGTTAACAAAACCCTTTGGTACTGTTGTGGTTTTCTATTCTTCCAGTGTACTCTCTCCCCTAACTCTATTCAAAAGTATCTTTGCTCTTTTGGGCTTTCCTTTTGCTTTTTTTCTAATCTTGCTGTGGTACTAGCCAGTGCGAGGAAAAGGTACAATATGTCAGAGAGCAGGGAGTGTGTGCTATTTTTTGAGCAATTTTCTATTCATTTTTCTTATTTTGGCTAGTTATTTTATTATGCCCTTGTGGCCCAGGTACTTGGGGAGCCAACTATCCTTCTGGCCTTTTAGTGTCTTTGAAGAAGAACAGGCATCAAGTGAACACCAGGAGAGTGTTTCTGGAAATTCAGCAGAGACCAAGCCCTGCTACAAATTCACTGGGCCAGGTGAAAGGGCCAGACAGTTGCAGCTTATGATGTAAATATTTTGTACAGTAAATAAATAAATGTTTAAAATAAGAACCAAGGAGCAAGTGGCTGCTTAAGTGGAGATTCACAGCTTAAATTGAAGGTGGGGAAACAAAGATTTAAAATGTTTTTGCATTCCCCAGTAGTTCCTCCATAAATGGTCGGCTTAGGGTAGAGTGTACACCTAGATCCCTGGCCTGTCCCATCCTTTCCCTTTCACCCTTCCATGATTGCTGTCCATGGTGCCAGGCAGGGCCCCTGTGCTCTTCTTCCCAAATAGCCATCAGGCAGGGATAGCAGGGTGACAAATGTTTGTGCTCAGCTCCTGAAGAAGAAACCAGCTTGACAATAGAAGAGGATATTTATTCTTACCAATCTTTAAACATTAATTTGGTGTTTTACTACCTAAGAAATTCAGTATAGAAAATTTGGAAATAATGGGCAAGGCACGGTGGCTCACACCTGTAATCCTAGCTCTTTGGGAGGCTGAGGTGGGAGAATCATTTGAGGCCAGGAGTTTGAGACCAGCGTGAGCAGGAGCGAGACCACATCTCTACTAAAAATAGAAAAATTTAGCTGGACATGGTGGCATGCACCTGTAGTTCCAGCTACTCAGGAGGCTGAGGTAGGAAGATTACTTGAGCCTAGGAGTTTGAGGTTGCAGTGAGCCATATGACACACTGTACTCTAACCCAGGCAATAGAGCAAGACTCTGTCTCAAAAAAACAAAACAACACAACAAAATTCTATCCTAACTGTACATTTTTAGGGTTATTTACAGTAGGGTTATTTACATCTTTTGTACTTGCTTCTCTTGTGGCTTTTAATAGGTCACTATGAACATTAATCATTGATTTCAGGCCATCACAAATTCCTTCTTAAGACTCAAGAGGATGGTTGGTTTGTTCTTGAATTTAAACATTAAATACTAGATTCAACGTCTTCTACACTGTTGCCTCTGAGCCATTGCAGATAGAGCTGTCAAACCTCTGCCAGCCACACTTCTCTTAGGGCTACAATAGAGGTTCTCCAGCAAGTGGCTTGAACCTTAAAGGACTCCTTCCCTCTACTTTGGCTTCACTTAGACCTTAAAGTATAATAGACCAATTCCTGATACCCTATAATACTTTTATTATAAGATTCTAAAATTCTCCTTTTATTTTGAGATGTAACATGCACAAAGGGTATACAAGCATGTACAATTTGAGTAATTTTAAAGGAAATGCACATCCAGGTCAAGAAATAAAACATTGCAGCACTGCAGAGCACAGTCTCATCCCATCCCTCTAGAGCAGGCGTCCTCAAACTACGGCCCACGGGACACATGCCACCTGCCTAGGACATTTATCTGGCCCACCAGCTGTCCTACTTAGCAGCCGACATCCTGGGCCCACAGTGTGCACTCTCCAACGGTCTGAGGGACAGTGAACTGGCCCCCTGTTTAAAAACTTTGAGGACCCCTGCTAGAGGTAACTATTATCCTGACTTGTAATTATTTCACCAATCCCCTTTTCAAACAGCCTGTCCCAAAATTAACAGTGGGGAGGGAGGAAATTGCCCATGTAGTCTCTTGATAAGACTCTAACCAAGATTAGTTTCTCCATAGTAATTACTAGAGCTCACAGTTGGTTTGAAAACTCTTCTGAGACCAATGTTGCCCCATGAGAATCTATTAATAGTGTATACTTCCTGTAAGGTAGGTCTTATTTTCTCTGTTTTACACAAGATACAGTTGAGGCACAGAAAGGATAAGTAACTCCCAAAGTTCCTTAGCTAGTAAGTGGTAGAGCTGTATTTGAACATGGGTCTGTTTCACGTCAGAGCCCAAACTCCATGTTTCTGGTTTGTCTCTCACAGATTAGTTTAGACTAAAACAGCCCAGGCGCTGGGCCACCATGCTTGCTGACTCTGCGTCCTGTTCGCTGTTCACTTGGTGATCCTTGTGTGACAGATGAGTACTTCGTACCTTGGCTTACCTATCAGTCACTTGGGGATTTGGGATCTATGGGGAGAAGGCCCTACCCATCCAGGGTAGAGAACTTGTAAGAGATACAGCTGTTGGAAGGAGCTTTAAAATCTTGCATGTGGAAAGTTCTATAGAATACCAGCTAATGACTTGAGTGAAGTGATTTATAAGTTTAAATGAATCCTAGATAAAGAATACAAGATATCCTTGAGGATATAACTGAGGGGAAAAAATCCTGAAATTTTAATATCCACTTTGGTGAAAGATCCATAAGTTTCATGCAAATGAAATAATTGGAATGAGGTCAGACATACTCCACAATACCCTGATGTTTATATCTGGTAACTGTCTGCAGAAAGAGACTTATTTGAATAAGTTTTTTGACTCTAAACTCTGCTTACACGAAACACAGAACCATTTGGCAAAGGCCAAATTCCTGGTGGATATCTCACTGAGGAAGCAAAACATTTTTTGAAATGCCAGAGTTAAAGGGAGATACACACATACCCCAAACAAGACTGTGATTCTATTGCAACTATAAGCATAGTATTCTCTCTAAGATGAGGGGTTTCTGTACCTCTCTTGTATGAAATCACTGTTTCTACAACCCCCACTTTACCTGCATTGTGGATTTGCACATGAAGGAAACTTTCTGAATCTTCTCATCCTCTGCAGACCATCAATGTTCCCTCTCTCCTAAGAACTCCCACTTGAAGGAGTTGCCAAGACATTCCTCTCTTTGCCCGTTAGCAAAGTCAGGGATATCAGAGAACTGGCTTCAGCAAGCCAGCTGAAGAGCCTTTGATGGTTTTTATGTTATGTTGAAAACAAAATGTGTTAATGTGTAAGGGGAAGATTATGTGTGTGTCATCACTTTGTACTAGGTCTCCTAAGTCCAGTCCTACTCCAAGTTATCATTTCATTTCCTATAAATGTACTTCTCCCCTCCCATTCTGATGTTTCTGCTCCATCACTGGATCTGTGGCCTTCCTTTTTCCTTTAGTTCTGTGTATCTTCACATTTCAGCAAGTATTTCCTGTGTATCAGCCACTATCCCTAGAGAGCTAGGGACACACAAGATAGAATGTGATCCCTGCCTCTGAGCAGCTCACTGTCTTATGGGGAGACAGACATATAAACAATCTATTTTCCTTACAGTTTCCTTCCCCTGAGGGTTGGGCACCCAAACCCATCACCATTCACCCCTCAATAGTTTCTAATGTTTAATGACGGCGGGGAGGGGCAGGCAGAATTTCTGTTTATGTATTTGGAGACTTTCCATATTATAGAGTAACGGCTGCAAGTTAAATTTGTCTAGCTCCCTACCCAAAGGGAGGGAAATTACTCTCCCTGTTGACTTTCAGAGAAGAATGAACCCTTGTAAAAGATGGATTCCAAATCAAGAGACTCAAAGAACAATCCCCTCATTTTGCCATAAATAGGCCATCACCTAGGCAGGTCCCAGGACAGGCTGGAAAAGGGGACTCGGGGATCTTAGGGCCCACTCTCCCTTTAGTCTGCTCTCCCAGACAAAGCAGACCTGAGGTGTTGACTTTGGCAGTGTGTGCTGGCCAGTAGCCTGCAGCTTAGTGAATGAAATTAAAATCTTGAGTAGATGGGGAGAGGAAGTAATCTCCAACACTAATAGCAATCAGAAGGGTTTGTACTATGGTCAGAATAATTAGGGAGTGGCAGAAGAAAGTCAAAGGAATGCCATTTCCATTAAACCTAGAGGCATGAAATGGCAAATCAACTTCATGAACAGCCATGAAGTTGGTTGGTTGTGACCACTATGGGTGGAAACACTGAGCTTTGGTCCAATTCCTTTAATGTTAATCAGATCCAGAAAATTGGAGTCTCTGATTCTCTCTCTCTCTATTATCTGCTGCAGCTGACAAGTATTCCTCTCTGGGGTTTGGGCAGACCTTAAACTTGATTCCCCAGGCTTCTGACTTGGATCACAGCTGGGTGGGGCTTAGGTCAGGCCATTGCCTTTAGGAAAATCAGCTCTTCCTTTAGGTTACCTTTCTCAAAGGGATTTTTCTTCTGAAACTTTGTTAATTATAATGGCAACTTGTGCCTCCTCAAAAAGTCAAAGCAGTGAAATTAAACTTGGATGTTTTATATATCTAGCATTTGATATCACAGTCCAGGTATACAGATGTGTTGCTGGATCCTGGCAGGCTCATGTGTGCAGCCCTGGAGGTGGTTGTGGGTCAACAGCCAACCATCTGCATGCTCCACAGTGGTTCTGATTTCAACAATTCTGACCTGTTACCCCCTAAACCTTGAAAATTCTATTATATTGGCATCCAGGCCATGTCTTACAAGACTCTCACACCCAGAATGAGCACAAAACTCTTTTGTCAGACTGTATCTTGAGTTTTGACTCCAAAAATGTCATTGTGGGTTAGCTATATAGAGGGAATAAAAAGTAAAACTCCAGTCTTAACTTTTGGGGGTAAGTTTGGGCTTACAGCTTGGCATGGTGGAAAGAAGGGGCCAAGATAGTGGTTGGCAAAAGAATATGGAGAACTTTGGGAGCAGAGCCAGAGACTGAGGATTGAAGCCCAGGAAAGTTTGGCACAAGCAGCAGCTGGGTATTTAACCAGGAACATTCACTCTTATTTTTCTCAGCCTTGGCAGTAGGTC